TTGTTGAACCTCATGAGGTTCACACAGGCCCATCTCTCCAGTTTGTCCAGATCCCTTTGGATGACATCTCATCCTTCTGCTCTCCATCTGCACACACAGCCTAACTCTTGCCAGCTGTAGTGAGACCCCTCTTGTTAGAGTTGATAAGCTGACTTGGATTCCCTTCTCAGCCACATGATTCTCTGTGATTCATTCATGACATTGAACAAGTTGTTTGCACGCTTTTTCTTATCTTTAAAGGGAGCAATAATGGTGATCTGATCTAACATGTTCCTCTGTGTGTTTGCTCATGTGCACTCTGAGGCCAGGACCTTGTGAGGTGTGTTGCCAACAGGGCCTGCTAGCCTTATTTGATATATTTAGGTTAGACCTATTACAGATACTAATTTGCATCTGTTAATGAGGCCCAAAGCCAGTAAGATATGTGAGCATCACAGGCCTGTTGTTCTGAAGAGGAAAGTCTCAGAGACCTGGAGTCATGCTGGTTTCCTTGTAGGTGACTTTCCACCAGCTAGTTATTGATGCAGTGCTGAAATTATGCCTCATGTTCATGGTGATGGGGACACTGAGGGGAATAGATGATGTACTGCTGGAGTTTCTGTACTTCTCTCCAGTACTCTCACACACAGGCACCCAAGCACTGGCTCTCAGTCAGGTTTATCAGCTCCCTGCTAATCAGTCCTCACTGTTTTCTTTTTGTTTTTCAAGACCTGCTCTGAATCGGTGAAGGCCAAAGCTGCCAAGTCTGACTGGCTGCAAGGTCTTTTCCTGCCCAACATTGTGCTCTTCACAGACAAGAGATACTTCAGTGACAGTGAGTGGGACCGCCTGGAGCATTTCGCACCTCCGTATGGCTTCATGGAGCTGAATTACTCACGTGAGTTCCTCAGGGCATGTCAGGATAGGACCATCAAACTCCCAACAGGAACCTTATGCCAAGTAGCTTGGAGGTTTGCAGCATCTCCCTGTCAAAGGCATCAGGCTGGGTGGATCTTGTGGTGAAAACTGTGGTGGTTTCACTGTGCTAACTCTCCACCATGTTTGCTTCACAGTGGTGAAGGAAGTCATGACCCTGCTGCCCCCAAATCCCCACCAGCAGCTGCTCCTGGCCAACAGCAACAGCAGCGTGCCAACATGCATCAGCTGTGCTGTCGTGGGGAATGGAGGAATATTGAATAACTCTGGCATGGGCCAGGAGATTGACTCCCATGACTATGTCTTCCGGTAAGGCAGTCTTCCTTTTTAGAAGATACACAGCTAGCTTATTCTGCCTAGCAGATAATTACAGCTGGATAACTTCACCTCTTGTAGTATTGCACTGATTCCCAAGTGCCAAAATGACTAATGGCAGGAGGAGATGAAAAACATAAAGGAATTGGGAAGTTCCTAAAGACACAGGAAGAGCCTGGGTTCACAGGTGAGCCAGAAAGAGCCATCTCCAAAGCAGGGGCTCTGTTGCAGATCAAGAGGTGTAGCTCAAAATGGGCCTAATCCTCCCTTCCTCCAGACTAATGCTGTCTTTTCTTGTTATAAACATGGATGCGAGGGTTTTCAGTGGTCACCTGCTAACTTTGCTCCTCTGTTTGATGTCCTTGGCCAGGGTGAGCGGGGCTGTAATCAAAGGTTATGAAAAAGATGTGGGAACAAAAACCTCCTTTTATGGATTCACAGCCTACTCCCTGGTGTCCTCACTCCAGATCTTGGGACACAGAGGGTTCAGCAACATCCCGCGGGGAAAAGTAAGTTAGGCCTATGCTGTATGTGTGCACAGCTTTGATGGGATGCTGTTAGTCTGTGGCCTTCAGTTCTGATCTTACCATGCACGAGGAACAAAGGGGCTGAGCTAACACATTAGCATTACCCTTAGTGAGGGAACCTGCATTGGCTTGGCTTGGTGTGAGTATCTGCAGTGGCAAGCTGCATCAGTCCTACTCCAGCCTTCTGGCATGTAGAAGTAGCTGCACAGCAGATGTTATCTCCATTCTGCTTCTGTGGGATAGTTAAAAGCTGCAGACTGAAGATGTGTGTCCAAGAAACTCAGTGAGCCTAGATGCCTGCTTGCTTTTTGTTTTTAAAGGATGTGTCTCTCTTCCGCTGTTCATTAATGCTCACTTGTTTTCTTAGCATGTCAGATACATTCACTTCCTGGAGGGAGATAGAGACTATGAGTGGCTGAAGGCTCTTCTGCTGAACAAGAACATCAGGAAAGGATTTTTGAACGAGTACGGGTAAAACAAACTGGCCCCACCTCTATACACTTCAGTGTGGAGCTCTCTGTTGTGCCCTTTTCCTCTCCACAGTGCTCAGCCCTGCTGAGGTGCAGGCCAGGATAAAGCCAGGTTAAAGCCTCCCTCCCCTGGCAGATTTGTCTGGAGAAATACCTTATTTCCTCCACAGCTCTGAGCACTGCTGTAATCAATATACCTCTTTCCCAGAAGTAGCTGATTTCAAGGATGTGTGGCTAGAGCTTGGAGAAAGCTTTGTGCTCCTCTGGGATGAACATGTGCTGTTGCCTGGTCTGGTGTCTGTACATGGTGGCCTACTCATGGATGAAGGCTTGGTTTCACCAGTTCTTGTCTATACACACACATGCTTTTGATCCTCCTGTCTCCTGCCTCTCCTCCCTGATCTCTTCCTCTGCAATGCACACAGGTTATGGAGGCTTTGTCATAACCTGGGAGGTGTTGCAGAATAATTTAACAGTTGTGGTTTAACCTGGCAGGCAGCTGGCAGGCCCCACACACCTGTTTGCTCACTCTCCTGCTCCCCAGTGGGATGGGGGAGGGAATTAAAAAAAAAAAAAAAAAAGTAAAATTCATGGGTTGAGATAAAGACAGTTTAATAGGACAGAAAGGGAAGGGAAAATAATAATAATAATATACAAAGTAAGTGCTGCACAAGGCAATTGCTCGCCACCTGCTGACCAATACCCAGCCAGTTCCCAAGCTGCACTTTGCTTGGCTTTATTGAAGTTCATTCTTCATTAATCTGGGTGATTCTTACTGTAATACTGCTGATATGGCATATAGCGACCATAAAAGTGATGCCATACAGTATTATATTATATGAGCAGGGTGTGTGGGGAAGGCCAAATTCCCCTCCTAGCTCAAGAGGTAGGTTCAGTAAGTTCAGCTGGTGAGAGGGAGCCTAGGCATGGCTATGGTATCCACCTGGCAGAAGGCTGTATCCTCTGCACTACCCAGGAAGGCTGTATCTACCCAGACTGAACTCCCAGAGAAACACACAGCTGTCCAGGTCTCCAGCTGCAGGGATTGCCACCAGCTTGCACTGGGGGAGGGAACAGCGGTGAACGCTGTGACCAGGTGGACTATCTACTCCGCCTGGTTGCAGAGCTAAGAGAGGAAGTAGACAGGCTACGGAGCATCAGGGAGTCTGAGCAAGAGATAGACTGGTGGAACCACGCTCTGAGCTCCTGGAAACCTGATGAAGGACAGCCTCCAGAGAAAGCCCATGACAAAAGGGAGCCAGTATCCTCCCCCCACCAGGATGTAGGCAGGGTCTTAGAGGAGTGGAAACAAGTCCACAATTGGGGTGGCAAGTGAACCCTTTCTGCCCCTCTACTCTGAGACCCCACCTGGAGTACTGTGCCCAGTTCTGGAGCCCTCAGCACAAGAAGGACATGGACCTGCTGGAGCAGGTCCAGAGGAGGGCCACAAAAATGATCCAAGGGCTGGAGCACCTCTCCTATGAGGCCAGGCTGAGAGAGTTGGGGTTGTTCAGCCTAGAGAAGAGAAGGCTGCGAGGACACCTTATTGTGGCCTTTCAGTACTTAAAGGGGGCCTACAGAAAGGATGGGGAGAATCTTTTTAGCAAGGCCTGTTGTGACAGAACAAGGAGTAATGGATTTAAACTGAAGGAGGATAGATTTAGACTGGATATAAGGAAGAAGTTTTTTACAATGAGGGTGGTGAAGCACTGGCACAGGTTGCCCAGAGAGGTAGTGGAAGCCCCATCCCTGGCAACATTCAAGGTCAGGTTGGACGGGGCTCTGAGCAACCTGATCTGGTTAAAGCTGTCCCTGCTCAGTGCAGGGGGTTGGGCTGGATGGCCTCTAAAGGTCCCTTCCAACCCAAAGCATTCTGTGATTCTACACAGCAATTAACATCATACCATTCAGTTCACTGGCTGTTTTCACTCAAAACCAAATCCCCTTCCTTCTGCATTACCCATGAAGTGTACCCAGGTCCTTGAACAGAAGCAGTCCCACAAATGCATTTGCCTTTGCCTGAGGCAGGAGTAACCCAGACTGTCTTCCCCAGCATATTTCTTACATGCACTAGAAGGACTTTATCCTCTTCTGCAGTACATAAAAGTTTTGTTTGGGCAGGGCCAGCTCGATTGGCAGATCCCCTGGTGTTGTCTAACCAGGTGGCTTTTGCTAAATGTGTATCCCAATGTTTAAATGTCCCACCGCCCATTGCTCTCAGGGTAGTCTTTAACAGTCCATTGTATCATTTGATTTTCCAGGAGGCTGGTGTGTGACAGGGGATGTGATATACCCACTTAATGCCATGCTCTTCAGCCCAGGTGTCTATGCGGTTGTTTCAGAAATGAGTCCCATTATCTGACTTAATTCTTCCTGGGGTGCCATGTTGTCATAGCACTTGTTTTTCAAGGCCTAGGACAGTGTTCCAGGCAGTGGCATGGGGCATGGGATATGTTTCCAGCCATCTGGTGGTTGCTTCCACCGTTGTAAGCACATGGTGCTGGCCTTGGTGGGTTTGTGGGAGTGTGATATAATCAATCTGCCAGGCCTCTCCGTATTTGTATTTCAGCCATCATCCTCCATACCACAGAGGCTTTAACTGCTTGGCTGGCTTGACTGCAGTGCATGTTTCACATTCATGGATAACCTGTGCAATAGTGTCCATGGTTAAGTCCATCCCTCAATTGTGAGCCCATCTATATGTTACATCTCTTCCTTGATGGCCTGAGGTGTCATGGGCCCACTGAGCTATAAATAATTCACCCTCATGTTGCCAGTCCAGATCCACCTCAGCCACTTCAATCTCAGCAGCCTGAAACACCTGCTGGTTGTTTTGATGTTCTTCAGTGGCCCAAGTCTTGGGTACGTGAGCATCTACATGATGTACTTTTACGACCAGGTTCTCTACCCAGGCAGCAATATCTTGCCACAATATGGCAGCCCAGATGGGTTTGCCTCTGCACTGTTAGTTGCACTGCTTCCATTGCTGCAGCCACCCTGTGGTGGTATTTGCCACCATCCATGAGTCAGTATAGAGATAAAGGAGTGGCCACTTTTCTCATTCAGCAATATCTAAAGCCAGCTGGATGGCTTTCACCTCTGCAAACTGCTTTGACTCCCCTTCTCCTTCAGCAGTTTCTGCGACGTGTCATATAGGACTCCATACAGCAGCCTTTCACCTCTGATGCTTTCCCACAAGACGGCAGGACCCATCAGTGAACAGGGCATATTGCTTCTCATTTTCTGGTGGTTTGTTATACAGTGGGGCCTCTTCAGCATGCGTCACCTCCTCCTCTGGCGATATGCCAAAATCTTTGCCTCCTGGCCAGTCCATGGTCATTTCCAAGATTCCTGGGTGATTGGGGTTTCCTGTTCAAGCCCGTTGTGTGATCAGTGGGACCAAGTTACTCCACGTAGCATCAGCTGCATGATGTGTAGAGGGAACCCTCCCTTTGAACATCCAGCCCAGCACTGGCAGTCGGGGTGCCAGCAGGAGCTGTGCTTCAGTACCAACAACTTCCAAAGCAGCTCGAACCCCTTCCTGTGCTGCCGATATCTCTTTCTCAGCTGGAGTATAGTGGGCCTCGGGTCCTCTGTATCCCTGATTCGAAAATCCTAGAGGTCAACCTAAAGTCTCCCCTGGTGCTTTCTGCCAGAGGCTCCAGGTGGGGCTATTCTCCCCACCTGAGGTGTAGAGCACATTTTTTACATCCTGCCCTGCCCAGACTGGCCCAAGAGCTACTGCATGAACTGTCTCCCATTTCATTTGTTCAAAGGCTTGTCGTTGCTCAGGGCTCCGTTTGAAATCATTCTTCTTCCAGGTCACCTGGTAAAGAGGTCTTACAATCAAACTGTAATTTGGAATATGCATTCTCCAAAACCCCGCAACGCCTGCCCTGCCCAGACTGGCCCAAGAGCTACTGCATGAACTGTCTCCCATTTCATTTGTTCAAAGGCTTGTCGTTGCTCAGGGCTCCGTTTGAAATCATTCTTCTTCCAGGTCACCTGGTAAAGAGGTCTTACAATCAAACTGTAATTTGGAATATGCATTCTCCAAAACCCCGCAACGCCCAAGAAAGCTTGTGTTTCCTTTTTGCTAGTTAGTGGGGACATGGCTGTTATTTTATTGATCACATCCATTGGGATCTGATGATGTCCCTCTTGCCATTTTATTCCTAAAAACTGGATCTCCTGTGCAGGTGCCTTGACCTTACTCTGTTTTATGGCAAAACCAGCTTTCAGAAGGATTTGGACTATTTTATTCCCTTTCTCAAAAACCTCTTCTGCTGTGTTGCCCCATACAATGATGTCATCAATGTGCTGCAGTTGTTCAGAGCTTCACCCTGTTCCAGACCCTTGTCTGGATCAGTCCATGGCAAAGTCCCCCCCGGGGGCCAGCCAGTTCCAGGTGTACTGGATGCCCCTCCAAGCGAAAGCAAACTGTGGCCTGCACTCTGCTGCCAAAGGGACCGAGAAGAATGCATTGGCGATATCACTTATGGCATACCACTTGGCTGCCTTTGATTCCAGTTCGTATTGAAGTTCTAGCATGTCCGGCACAGCAGCACTCAGTGGTGGCATGACTTCATTCAGACCACGACAGTCTACTGTTAGTCTCCACTCTCCATTAGACTTTAGCACTGGTCACATGGGACTGTTAAAGGATGAGCGAGTCTTGCTGATCATTCCTCGGCTCTCCAGTCAAAGAATCAGCTTATGGATGGGAACTGGGGAGTCTCGGTTGGTGTGGTATTGCCACCAGTGCACTGGTGTGGTAGCGGTCAGTACCTGTTGTTCTTCAACCCTCAGCAACCCCACAATAGAAGGGTCCTTCAAGAGACCAGGCAAGGTGGACAGCTGTTTAATTTCCTCCATCTCCAAGACAGCTATACCAAAAGCCCACCGGTACCATTTTGGGTCCTTGAAATACCATCTCTCCTGAGGCAGTCTGTGCCAAGGATGCACAGAGCCTCTGGGCCAGTCACAATGTGGTGCTTTTGCCACTCATTGTCAGCCTCATTTCAGCCTCCAATATGATTAGCTGTTGGGATCCCCCTGTCACTCCAGAAATACAGGTGGGTTCTGCCCCTTTATAACTCGATGGCATTAGGGTACACTGCGCACCGGTGTCCACTAGAGCTTCATACTCCTGTGGGTCTGATGTGCCAGGCCATCGAATCCACACACTCCAGTAAACCCAATTGTCCCTTTCCTCCACCTGGCTGGAGGCAGGGCCCCTCTACTCCTGGTCATAGTATTTGTTACTCACTTCTTGTAAGTACGAATCAAAAGCCCCTTTATTGAGATCAGGGGGAGGATCAGCCCTCCTACTGTGTCTAGGGAATTGCCCACTGGAAACTGGAGCAGCATTTTTCCTGGAAGAACCCCTTTTTGTGATTGTTTTTCCTTGCAATTCACATGCCCGTGCCTCTAGGGTCAAGGTAGATTTTCCA